GGATCCACAAGGGGAATAAAGAATGCAAAGCAGGTGACCAGAAGCAACATTGCACTGCAATCACAGTTCAGACAAAAGGAACCCAGGGCCAGGACGCTAACCACAGGGCTAAGGACTCCAACGTTGCAGCAGGAGGGCTGGCAGCAAGTTCAACAGAGCCTGTGGTGGACCCAGTTTCCTCTGAAGGAGGTAGCAATGAGAGCACCCTTAAAACACCAACATAAACCTAGGATACCACCAAACTCCACCATCCAAGATGTACGGCAGATGGCAGAGACGAGAGAACCGGGGCAAAGGCAGTTGATCGAATGGCCAAAAGCAAATGAAACAGCAGTCTGGCAGCAGCTGGATAAGGACCTCAGCATCCTGCTGCATCACTCTTTGCATTGTTAGGTGTAAACCAAGCTGTACAACATCGTAGAAATACTCTATAAGAATTGCAGGGACAGGTTTGGGGCAGGGACAAGAAAGGTATTCCATGCAAATGCTCTGTTCGAAAACCTAGGACGCATCCTTAGAAGGCCAGATTCGATGGCTGATTATGTCATAGGTGGCGCCGAGGTCTGGTCGGATTCCAAGAGTCCTCGTTATGCGGTCTTAAAATGCGTCCCTCTTTTTGCCCGATTTGAAGGACGGGTCCGACGTATCCTCGGTATCCTTGGATATCCCAGGATTCATTGCGAGATAAAGCAAGCCATGATCAGAGGAAAGGTTACTTGGCACCGAACAGTGGTGAAAATTGGAAGTTCAGTTTATATAATACAAGTCAGAGATGAATGAAAGTAGTTGTTTTAATGGTTATTGAGTCAGATATGTGACGGTAATGTTTGGTTTATCTAAAGGTTTTAATCTGTTACTGTGTAAAGGGGTTTGGCTGTAATTAAAGGACAGATTCTAATAGATTTGCAGTGTGGGGACTATAAATCTGATAGGATTTTTATCTTTTTATTGCTGTTTTGCACAATAAGCTTAACTAAGTATTTTTTGTTGTTGAATATTAGAGATTTTGCAGATATATTTTTATACATACATTGTTTAGGTTTACTTATATCTTTCTACCCCTTTTATAGAATAGAAAATCCCTTTATTGTCCCATAATGGGCAAATTTACAGCAGCAGAAAGATTACTGAAAATGGTCACACATGTGAGGACCTTAGAAAAATGTATAAGAATAACATAATAGGGAAGAGTTAAAATATAAACAATAAAATACTGTAAAGTGTTTTAACAATATAAAACTGGGGAATAAATAACCAATATGCAGCTATGGACATTTTTACAGTAATGGATATTTGAAAATAGCAGCAACATCAGAGATGTGCAGAATGGCAGCAGCATTTTATTTAACTGACTAAGGTTTCTATCATTACATTTGATTT